AGAATTTCCGTACATCCTAAAAAATGGATTAGCCACTATTTTATTTCAGGACAGCCTACTGACCCACAAATCATTCTTGGTTTAATCTTTCTGTTGCAGACTAGCATCGTGGTTAAAAATCTGGGCTTTCAAGTCAGACAGACATGGGGTTTAATCTTGTTTTGGTAACTTTTTAAGTTGTATGACCTTAGGATATGTAACTTGTGTTTTTCTTGTGGGTGGAATAAGGATAACAACAAAAGCAACGTCATAGGATTGTGGTAATAACTAAATGTGACAATTGACATAAGCTGCTTAGCTCAGCACCCAGCATATAGAGTCAGCGATGAGGATGACTGTTAGTGAGCTCTCCGTCAAGGGTGGGCTGAGGGAGTTCCCAATTGCCTGATGTGAGCAAAGCCTTTGTATTAGCTATCTATGTCTGGGTAACAAATTACTGCAAAACTTATCATTGTCTCACACAGTTTCTGAGGATCAGGAATCTAGAAGCAGCTTAGTTGGGTAGTTCTGGCTCAGGGTGTCCCAGAGGTTTCAGTCAAGCCATCAGCTGGCGCTAGAGTCATCTGAAGGCTTGATCAGATCTGGAGGATCAGCTTCCAATCACACTCAGAAGGCTGTTGGCAGAAGGTGTTAGTTAGTTCCTTACCACGTGTGCCTTTCAGTAGGACTGCTCAGAACATGCCAGCTGAATCTTCCCAGAGAGAAAGCAACTGTGACCAAGATGGAAGCCACAAGGTCTTTTATAACCTAATTTAAAAAGTGTCATACCTTAGCTTCTGCCATATTCTATTGGTTGCACACACCAAACCTGTACAGTATGGGAGGGGACTGCACAAGTGTGTGAATACCAGGAGGCAGAGATCACTGGGGGTTATCTCAGAGGCTGGATACCACCACCTTTAAATGGTTTTCCTAAGCAATGCCACAGATGCTCTTTTTTTTTTTTTTTTTGGCTTTAATTTTAGAGTTGAGAGGCTTTGAAATGATTATAGTGTTTTATAATCTACCAGCAAATGAAAGGCATCCAAGCCTCAAGATAAATGTCTGAGTGGGGTCTGCTAGCCACTTGAAAAGCATGTGGCTCCACATACCAAAGAAATCCACAGCTGACTTTAGTAAAATCTTGACTGTTAAATATTCCAGCTCTGTACTTTCACAAAGTGCAAAGGACAGAAGTTGTCTCTCTATATTAACAAGTAAGAATGGTTAGCGGATAAGGCATGGTTTACAAATCTGTATTTATGATTAGGGTCTGGCTGAAAAACAGCAAGAATAAACCATACAACCTGGGAAGTCTAATTCCAGCAGGAAGTTGCTTTGAAATAACATAATACTTCATTCACTCCCCAACTGATGTCTTTGACGACCAGTTTGGACACATCAATAAAACGTCCTGTCACTTACCATATTTTATTTTCTTGCAGCATTTTCCACTGTTGGATGGTAACTCTAATAATGCCTGTTCTTACAGCAGAATCCACGCTCTGATTTAGATTTGCCAAGTAGATTGCTTTTAGCTAAATTTCTTGTCCAAGCACAGGTCCTTATGGTTTGAGAGTTCCCATTAAAAGATCCCTAAAGAAAAATATACAGCTTTACTGGCTTGGATTTGTAGCTCCAAAATTTAAAAGAAAGCGGCTGGTTAACATTATAGACATTTTGAAGTACTTGTCTTTCAGAAATGCAAAAAACAATAGCAAGAAAAGCCTTTGATGGCTCAGAATTTATTTTATTTTATGTACTTATTAATTGGTACACTTTCTCCCCCATTTTAACCAAAGATCCTGTACATTGAAACAATAAAATAAGTAAAGACATGTGTCTGCTTTAAAATCTCGAAATTGGTTAAGTCTCATAGTCCTCTTCCATGCTTTCTGGGTAGAGGCTCTTTCTGTTCTCTCAGCCCTGCAGCACTTTGATCTCAGAAGCAGTGCCATTTGGTTGTAAATGTATGTGGCGCCTTTGATCTAGTACTTAGCTGGTCTTATTTAAAATAGATAGCTTCTTTTATCTAAGTAGTGTTTACTGGGTCTCTCTCTATGAAAGATGGTTTAAATTGCTATTATTTAGATAGAAAGTTATATAAAGTTTCTTAAGAGTGCCCAGATCTGAATCTAATTCTCTAAATTCTAAAACCCCAATGGCATTATTATAGATTACATACAGCAAATTCCTGTTAAAATGAGCTGCTTTTACAGATGTCAGGTAATATTTGCAAAAACTTCGTTTGCTTTTTAACAGGGAACTGATTTTCCAAAGAATAATAAACATATCCTACACACACGCAAAAATAGTACTCTCAGAGTGTCTGAACTTAATGGCCAATTTGCCCTCTGAAATTCACATATTAGTATATTTTTATGTTACTGGGTTATGAATACTATAAAGTATATATTGAAATGGGACTTTTTAAAGTAATAAGTATATGTCTTGAATTCTCTTCTTTAAGAGGATTTCTTGAATATTTTATCAGGCGCATTAGTGACCTGTGTTTGAATTTCCTAGGCTGCATTCAATTATTCATTCAACAAACTATGTTGCAGGTGCAAAGATGCAGAGATGATTAAGTCACAGACTCTGCCCTTAAGTTGCTCACAGTCTGGGGTCAATGGGCAGAGCACTAGTAGACAATTACACAATAGTGTGGTGTGTGCCTCTTATGGATGCTGGTCCTTCCAGCCTGCAGTTGGGACTGGTCAGGGAAGGCTTCCTGGAAGAGGTGGCACCCAAGCTTCAGTTAGACTGCTGACTCAGAACTCAATGTCCTGTAAATTCCCAGCCAGGTCCATAATGCAAAGACAATCTATCTGCCTAACGCCTCTGATCCCCCCAACCCTGGTTTAATGCAGGTGGCCTAAACCTTGAGAAAGGTCTTGAAGGGCGCTGCTGCCTGAAGCTACCCCAAAGCCTTCTAGCTTGTCATTCAACACTAAGGAGAAAAAGCCCAAACCACCTTTCACATACATATTTATAAATTTAGCTCCATTCTTCATTTAAAGGAAATATTGGAAATCTCTTTGTGTTGTTTAAGTTAAAATAGCTGCCTTTAACTGTTCTGTTAGGCTCCTGACACATGTTTTTTCCTTCCTCCTTGGTGTCGTGTTCCTACCATTTCAGAAGTCTTGTCATTACTTTGCCCACGTACTAACCATACAGGAGCATTCCAAGAACTGACCCTGGGAGTAAGCACTCTGGAGGATGCTCAAGAAGTATATAAGGGGCACTTCCCAGGCCTGGAGGTTGGGGGAAGGGCAAGAAGAGGTAATCCATAGTCACGTACAGGATCATTGCACTAATAGTCACAACTGTTCTAGGGAGGTCACAGGGGGCATATCAGAGGGGGCCAGGGCCTGACCTCAGGGGACTCATACTGGGTCTGTGGAGATGGAGAAGAGAGGCGGCCTCTGGAGGACATGAGCGCATGAGTTTGGAGTGTTCTTGGATCAGTGCAGGGATGGTCAGCATGGGGCAGGTGAGGTAGAGGCAGGAATGTGCTAAAAGCAAACTGGAAGGGTTTGGCTTTTTCCCAGTGGTGCTATGAAGCCCTTGAGGCACAAAACTGCAAAATGAAGTGGGATCTTTGGTACTTTCCCACTTCTTTGATGTAACCAAGCACTACTGATTCTGAGAATCTTGCATTCTAGGCAGTGGCCACCTTGGAGACCAGAGAGCCTAGCCTTCCCATTTGCCCAGTGAGGAAATAAGCTCCAAAGAACAAGCAGCCCAGGTCTCACAGTCACTGAATGGCAGAGGCAAGGGTGTCTGGCCATCCTGTTGACCAGGACCCAGGCCTGGGCTTCTCTTCCTGGGGCTTGTTTCCCACTAGGAGTCCTGGAGTAAGATCTAGGACATTAGACAGTTCCTAGGAGCCTGTAGGAGAGAGCCATCACACCCTGGGGTCCTCCAACATGTGTGATCTCCAGGGGCAGTGCAGTTCTCATAGGGCTTCATCCTCTATCTGGACCCAGGGTCCACACCAAACCAGAACTTGAATAAGAGGAGCTGGTAAGAAAAGAGACAGAGAGGACAGAAAAGAATCAGGTTAAATTGAGCAGACCCATGTGAGCCACAGGAAGGCCAGGCTGAGAGGATGGAGAGCAGTATTAAATTGGGGAAAAAATGAATTTTTTTGTGTGAGTTACTAATCACAGGCTGCCTATGGCCCCTAACTTCAGGAAAGCCAAACTTCCTGTCCCACCCAAACTGTGTGGATTGAGAGCAAGGTAGAAAAGGTGGTCCTCAAGAAAATCAGGGGACTATTATTAGAAGGAGGGTGAGGAATAAATGCTGGAAAAGCAAAAACAGTAGATTTTGACAGCAGCTCCTGACCTCTCCTAACCTGAAGGTTAAAAAGTATAAGCCTGAGATGTTCTCATAGAGTGTGGCCGTGTGCTGGGTATTCTCACTTCTTTCTCTATATTAACTAATTGAGCCTATCTTCAACCCTGTAACACAGGGACTACTATTATTCCCATTTACAGAGGAGGCAATTGAGGCACAGAAAGACTAATTTGTCCACAGTCTTTCAGCTAGTAAGTCCCAGAGTTGGGATCTGAACCCAAGGAGTCTGACTCCAGAACCTGTGTTTTTAATTATTATGTTAAAAGTGTCTCCCATTTTCCTTCCTTCCTTCCTTTTTTTCTCTCTGAAATAAGGATTTGAGGAAGGCCCTGATAATGAATGTAATCACCTAGCACAGAATAGTAGCCATTATTTTTTTTGTTATTATTTATTAACAGAGTATGAAAGCATCTGGTGCATAGTAGACATTCAACGACTGTGAAATAAGACAAAAACATTTGAAGGCTAACCAAGACATTTGCCTGGGCTCTAGGGCTGAAAGAAAATCTGCATGATCTTCAGGGGATTAGCCATGGGTATGGAGGAATAGCTGCAGACAGTAAACAGATAAATAGAAATGTCCAGAGACCCATTGAGATGGGGCGAAATGGTGAGATGCTGAATTCTTTAATGACTCCTTTTCTCCTTCCCTTCTTAAGTGCTGCTTAAGTAGAGCTGAGGCCAGACGCGATGCAGCTAAAGTGGCCCTAATCAACTCCCTCTTCAATGAGCTGCCCTCTCGCAGGATCACCAAGGAATTCATTATGGAGAGTGTGCAGGAAGCAGTTGCCTCCACTAGTGTGAGTACCCACCAGGGAAGGGAAAAGCTGGCTATACTTAGAGTACGGAGCTATTTGAATCTTGGGAGATGCTAATGTGAACGAGTTCTTTAAGAATTGTGCAGGTACTGCTGGTGGGAATGTGAATTGGTACAGCCACTATGGAGAACAGTATGGAGTTTCCTTAAAAAACTACAAATAGAACTACCATATGACCCAGCAATCCCACTACTGGGCATATACCCTGAGAAAACCATAATTCAAAAAGAGTCATGTACCAAAATGTTCATTGCAGCTCTATTTACAATAGCCCGGAGATGGAAACAACCTAAGTGCCCATCATCGGATGAATGGATAAAGAAGATGTGGCACATATATACAATGCAATATTACTCAGCCATAAAAAGAAACGAAATTGAGCTATTTGTAATGAGGTGGATGGACCTAGAGTCTGTCATACAGAGTGAAGTAAGTCAGAAAGAGAAAGACAAATACCGTATGCTAACACATATATATGGAATTTAAGAAAAAAAAATGTCATGAAGAACCTAGGGGTAAGACAGGAATAAAGACACAGACCTACTAGAGAATGGACCTGAGGATATGGGGAGGGGGAAGGGTAAGCTGTGACAAAGCGAGAGAGTAGCATGGACATATATACACTACCAAACGTAAAATAGATAGCTAGTGGGAAGCAGCCGCATAGCACAGGGAGATCAGCTCGGTGCTTTGTGACCCCCTAGAAGGGTGGGATAGGGAGGGTGGGAGGGAGGGAGACGCAAGAGGGAAGAGATATGGGAACATATGTATATGTATAACTGATTCACTTTGTTATAAAGCAGAAACTAACACACCATTGTAAAGCAATACTCCAATAAAGATGTAAAAAAAAAAAAAGAATTGTGCAGGTTTTGGGCTTCCCTGGTGGCACAGTGGTTAAGAATCCACCTGCCAATGCTGGGGACACGGGCTCAATCCCTGGCCCGGGAAAATCCCACATGCCACAGAGCAACTAAACCCGTGCGCCACAACTACTGAACCCGCGCACCACAACTACTGAGCCCACGTGCCACAACTACTGAAGCCCCCGTGCCTAGAGCCCGTGCTCTGCAACAAGAGAAGCCACCGCAATGAGAAGCCTGCGCACTGCAACGAAGAGTAGCCCTCCGCTCCCCGCAACTAGAGAAAGCCCACGTGCAGCAACGAAGACCCAACGCAGCCAAAAATAAATTAATTTAAAAAAAAAAGAATTGTGCAGGTTTTATTTTTAACCCATTAAATCATTAATTTTCAGCAGAAAGAACACTTGGACTGGAAATCATGATATTGGAACTGGTTCCCTATCCATGTCTCAGTAATATTCTTTAGCCTCCCTGGATTAATCACAATTAATCAAGATTTAAATCAAGGTGGATCAAATTATCCACCTTGATTTGTTTATTTGAATGTTTGCTGTTTGAGGACCATAGATTCTTTTAGGGCCTGAGAACGCATGCCATTGAATACTGCTTTAACCTAGAGATAAAGAAGCTCAATTTTCCCCAAACTTGACGAATCATAAAAATTATCTGAAGTGCTTATTAAAAGTGCCAATTCCCCAGCCAGTGTGAGGTCCTTCAATCTATGTTTTTAAGGAAACAGACTGCTTCGATATGGGAAAAGCCGTATGCCCAATATTTGTTAGCTGTTAGAATTATCATGCTTAATATCAACTACTTTTTTCAGAGAGCTTTGGAAATCTCTGTAATGGATGTAATTAAATACAAAGAGCTTTGAGAGCCAAAAGCTCTGTCTTAGAAATTTAGATAGGACATTTTCTCGGCAGTCTAGGAGTACAGTAGATGATTTGCCCCATGAATTTTTGGTGCTTTTGATCCTTGTACCTCCAAATTATAAACCATTTTAACCATGGAGGAAACCTTGGGTCTCAACTGGGGCAGGTGTCGCCCTGTGTGTCCTTCAAGTGCAGAAACTTGGCATTACCAAAGGGATTAGCCACATCCTAGCTTCGCCTTTAGCATGGATCAACGCCATCTGAGATTTTCATTCTCTGATTCCCTTAATCTGACTATAAACGTTCTGTCATTCTGGAGAAGCTACTGATAATGAAGGTGACATTATCACACTAGCTGTGACCTTTTTGCTGCTTTTCCCCCTCATAAATGCTCTTATCATGCAGAAGAGAGATAAGGGGAGAGGTGGGGACTGAGAGTGGTTGTCCTGGCAGAGAGACCTCAGGGAGCTCTGGTCTATATCTGCTCTGAGGATGAAAGGAAGCCTTTATTTTCCTGCCCTGTAAATTTCAAGTGCCTTTGAGGAAGAGAAGTTAGGAAAATGATGCCTGATTTATATGTGTGGAATTTACTCAGGAGCAGGGAGGTGCCCTCAGTGTAAATGTAATTTATCATTTTTTCATGGAAATTTCTAAGGAAGGAGAATATATATGGTTTGCAGGCTTCTGGATGGATTTCCTCTGGGATATTTAAAAAGCCAACATAAATATTTCAGCAGTAGTGTGTTAATGTTATTGCATTCAAAAGCTATAAATTTGCTGCTATCTGATGTGGGCAGTTGTTTGTTCAGTCTCACAAAGCCGTTGCCCACCTTCCCAGGAATCCAAGGCCATGGGATATCGAAGCGCAGGCGCCAATGCCATTCCTGAGTTCATGTCAGCTTTTTTAATGCCACTCCCCCTAACCAAATTGAAAGGGAATTTCATTTCTTCCCATCACCCACCCACCTTGTTTCCTAAAGATTAAGTGGTCCAAAAGTGAAAACTATAAACCAAAATCCATGTCTCCAGGCCGAACACCAGCATATTATGAAAAGCTCCCATTAAAAATCATGGGGGTGGGCTTCCCTGGTGGCGCAGTGGCTGGGAGTCTGCCTGCTGATGCAGGGGACGCGGGTTTGTGCCCCGGTCCAGGAGGATCCCACATGCCGCGGAACGGCTGGGCCCGTGGGCCATGGCCGCTGGGCCTGCGCGTCCGAGGCCTGTGCTCCGCAAGGGGAGGGGCCATGGCAGTGAGAGGCCCACGTACCACAAAAAAAAAAAAAAAAAAGAATCATGGTGGTAAAATATGAATGGTCCATACAACTGGAGATTTTTTTCCCTGTTAGTTACATAATTTGCTTGGTGATCACTGGAATCTTACAGAGCAAGTCAGCATTTCAAGATTTCGATAATGGATGAAAGCAGCCTTGGAGAGCAACTGCTCAAACATTAATGCCACCACAAACAAAAACTCTGTGGAGAGATACAGGAATTTCTGCTTTGGGATAATTCTTCTTTTTGAGTATATAATCAGTTAACATTCTAATCAAAAGCTAGATTCAAGTTGATTACAAAATCCTCTTAACTACAAGTGATGGTGAGAGTAAGGATTTTATGCCAAATCAACTGGAGACGGTTGTAGTGCTGTAGGATGCACCCCTGAAGGGTTAGGACAATAGAAGGCTCACTGTGAGGCCACAGAATTAATTCATGACCACCCAAAGAAGAGGAGAAGAAACCCATGATATTTTCCTTTTCTGCTTACTTCCCAAGGGCACTTTGGATGACGCGGACGACCCCAGCACCAGCATTGGAGCCTACCACTACATGCTGGAGTCAAACATGGGGAAGACCATGCTGGAATTTCAGGTACCTGCTTCCTTCCACATATTTGTTTTGCTACACAACCCCCAGAAGCCTGGGGGAATGCCACTCATCACTAACAGCCCCCGTCCCAATAATCTACTCTTTTTCTGTTTTGGTCATTTTAATTTAACCCTGCTAGAATCCAGCACTGTGCTCCCTTTTAGCCGCACCTCAGGAGGCTAAAACAAAAAAGCAAAGAGGCACAATCTTTGCTTTCTTAAAGAAAAGTAAAAGACAAGCTAAGAAACAGGCGGGGAACATTACAGTCTTATGACCCTATTAACATTTTACCAGCTTTTCAGTATAAAGCTCCCCCTTAAACCAAATTAAACAGTTTGAAGTGTTGGTTGTGACCATTTGGTTCTTAATTTTCAGAAGGCATGGATGAAGGTGCCTGCAATGTATATTAAACAATTTTCCCCTCAGTTATGGTATTTCTGTTAAACAAGATTGCCATCTCCTATTGTTAACTAAATCAAAACATTTAGCAACCTGTAACCCTTTTCATTCCACTGCTGACAAGCAATAATAGAGCTGAGGAACTATATTACCTGTTATTTGCAAATTAAATAATTATATTAATAGCAATAAGAATAATAATAGCTAACGCTCATTGGATGCTTACTTTGGCACTGTGCTAAGCGTTTAACAGATCTTACCATAATTTAACCCTCACAATAAACATGTATTTCTTATCTCCATGTCTTCATTGAAGGAAGTGTGTCATACAGCTTAGCAAATGGCACAGCCAGGGTTCAGACCCAGGCAGTCTGATTTCTCAATCCACACTCCTATTATCCTATATTGGGCTGGGCAGACAAAACTTCAGAAGTCATTGAGAATGAAAAGTGCACTCTCTAAAAAATTAAACACGAATACAGTTGACCATCCATATATACATCCATGCCAGTAGGAATCAATATGCAATGTTATAATGAGGAGACTTTACCCGCCAAGATTTCTATTTTTTTAGGTTAGATTCCAAGAAGCAGTCAGAATATAAAGTTTTATGGACACAAATGTTCATCATGGTATAATTTACAGTGGTGTTACAGCTGAAGCCACCACCTTCCAAATACCATCTTTGGTACCTTTTAAACTCTTTTCCTGACTGCAATGGCATAGCCACTTCTCAGGTGGATATGTCCCACCTGCCCATTTTTAAAAACCAGTAATTTTCCTCATCACTCTCTCATTTGATTGACACAAAATACTCTTTCTTCACCCTGCCCTAGGAGGATCTCAGTCATCCAGGTTTCTCCTTAAGCGGTTGTGGTCTCCCTGACCTTTGATGTTGTTTGTCTTTGTTTGGAAGAGACCCTGAAGCTCACCTGGTGTAGACAGGGGGATGCAGCAGCTCAGTGGTTCTGAGCCCAGGCTTGGGAGTGGGCTCACCTGCTCATCTCTAAATCTGTTTCCTCGTTTGTACGTAAATCAGGAAGAATAACAGTAGTAATAATAGTAGCGGTGCTACCTCCCTGTGCTATTGTGAAGACTAAATGGAACCACATAGAAAGTCCAGAACAGTTCCTGGCATATGGTTAATGCTCAGTGAAAGCTGACAACTGTTATTATATATATTTCTGAAGAAGGACTGCTTCATTTGAAATGCCAGAGGCTACCAGATGGATTCCCTTGACAACTTTATTTAACCTAAAGGCTTTACATGAGGACAAGGTAGCTCCCCTGCATTAAATGTTTCAGGGCCCTTGCTATAGAATAAAAGAGTGGAACTGTCAAGGGTTTTTTTTTTTTTTAATCTTCCATAACAATCTAAAGTCAAACAGAGAAAAAAAATAAAAGGAAAGAGCATGACACAAGAGAAGGGACACAAACTTTAAAAAACCATACAGACCTACATGTAAAGCCTGTGCTACCACTTGCCACCTGTGAGCTTAACCGTTCTGAGACTCAGTTTTCCTATCTACAAAATAAGCATCATGATACCCATTGTGTAGGCTTTTTGTGGGGCGTATATAATATGACATTTATAAAACATTTAGCATGGTGATTCCCCAAGGAAGAATCTCATTTATGTTCATTCCTCCCCCCTCGACCCTGACAGAAGAATATTGTACTTCTTTTATTATACAATGAATGTTGCCTGGCCCAGTACATAATAGCTTGTATAGGATTTAGTAGCTATTTTCAGAAAAATCAAGAATGATTTTTTAACACAGTGGGTTAGTCTGCCAAATATAGGGAAGGCAAGATTTTTTTTTAAAAAATTCTTAAAATTCTGTCCAAGTACTATGAAAGGCTGTACTCAACCATCTTTTAGTAATACTTTAATTGCCTTGCTACGGGCTGCATGTTTCCTGTGTGGTCTGTGTAGTAAGGTATTTAAATACATGAAATAATAATTTGAATCATACTGTGGAAATGCTTCATAAATTCTCAAAATGGAGGCTGGGTGCTGGATGAGGGACAAAGGAAGCGGAAGATGTGAGGGCAGGAAAAATCCAAACTCCCTCCTCCCAGTAGGGATTCTGGCAACCCAGGAGGAGGGCCATGAAGCACATCCCTCTTCCTTCCGCCAGCTCCAGGTTGCCTGCTGGGTTCCTACACATTCCTTGGTGGCCTGGGTTAAATGCATCAGCTTGTTTCTGCACATAATGGGAATTGACCACAGACCTGGGCTGTTTGCAGTCAACACAGCAATTCAGTACCCCTGGTGGGTAATAGATGTGTGTTTGTATCTAGCTATGGATGACTATACCGTATAAAAACAAGACTGTTGTCTCCTGCCTGCCTGCAGGCTTTAAGGGGGGCCATCAAGGAGGCAGCCTCAGAGGAAACATGATATATGCTTCTGCTTACCTTCACTTCGTGGGAGGGAGGCTGGGATGCCTGTTTAAGGTAGCCTTGCCCCTCACCATAGAGAAAACTGCCTGATGTTTGGGGGCTGGGATGGCCACTGGGTCTTGTCAAGGTCAGATTCAAGGCAGACTTTGACTGAAGCTGGTTGATATATTTATTCTGAAGCCTAATGCAGTCGAAAGATGAGTTGTTTATTTACATCTTTGCTAAATTCTCCAGGTCGCCTTTTAAAACCTCATCCCATAAACAAATTTCCTCTTAAATCTATTCACTTGGGTGGGGAGATTGTGCCCACCTGTTTTTCAAGTTCTCCATTTACACTGTTTGTTTTTCTTATTTCTGATGAATCACAGAACCAAGCCAGTCTCCCAGACAGAGTTCCAGAGAGAAGCAGTGTACATTTTCTCCCCGGGGAGTAGCTGGGAGGCCAAACATTGTTTCTCATAGGAGGCAACACTAGAAAGCACTGTGAGGACAGAGCCCAGTTGTTGTTGGTTTAAATTTAATGAATGACAAAATGAACCAGAAAAGCTATAGAATGAAAGCTACAACTGCAATTTCCTTGGAGAGAAAGAAAACGCAGGGCTTGATTCACCACTCGATTTTAAATTTACTTTGCTGAAGGGGACTGGCTACATAATTTTTGGGGCCAGTGCAGAATGAAAGTTCAGGGCCTTTTATTCAAAAATTACTAAGAATTTCAAGACTACGGAGCACTAAACCAAGCTCAGAGCCTCTGTGCCTGCACAGATCACAAGCTCATGAAGCCAGCCTTGTCCCTGAGACAAATCCCCAGAAGGGCCCAGACTAGGGTAAGAAGAGTTAGGCATTGAACTCGGGTACAAAATTTAAAGGAGCGTCAAAAAATTCAGTAATCAAGGCAACTAATATTATAATGCAGTATTTTAAAAACTCAAATGTGCAAAACTTCATAACAAACAAAACATCCAAATTTTAAATAAAGACAGAATTTAAAATAAAAGACCCTGAACTTGTACAACGTACCTTAAATCTTGCTTGACTCACCTCACCCTAGTCCCAGCCCTACCTCTAGGCCAGCTTCTTGTTTATCTGTCAGCCCACCCAGTTGACCCAGGCTTCTAGGTCAGCCCAAGTAACAAACACAGTACAGACTTCAGTGAGGAAGGAGCAGGACATGTAGATCACCAAACAGACTTCCTTCAAAGTGATAGGGCTTCGACAGGTAGAAAATGAGGCTGTGAAGACCAGACAGTGAAGAGTCATGGTGAAACGATGAAACGAATCCTCACAGAAGTCCCTGGCTACCCTCTCCTTGCCGCTCTGCCATAATGCAAGGATTTCCAATGGAATCAATGTGAGGCACACAAGGATTTCCTGGGGTTGAGCCCAGGACTCATACAGCTTCAGGAAGATCTGAAGATAGTGAACTTGGTCATTTGAGGGGAAATAAAGAGGTGGGACAGGAAGAATGTGGAAATATTTCAATATACTTTATATGACGATGGTGAGAGTCATATCTCCAGAGAGGAGAGCAAGAACTAGATCAGGACATAAGGTAAGAAGGCAGACAGAAGGTTATCTTTCCTGGGGGATTTTAGGAACAAGGGCAACAATGAAGAAGAGGCAGTTGTATTACTGCAGAGGGAAAAACTGCTTGGTGATAGAATAGAAATTTGGGGAATAAGGAGGAGGAGGATTCTCTTCTTGCAGGCAGAAACAGTTCAGGTCTCTGTGGGGAAGTTTTTGAGAGATGTAGGTTGCCAAGGCACATGGGAAAGATTTCTGGTTCTGTTCACAGAATTGTGGGTTCTGAAGTCTTAGGAGAACTGCTGAGTGGCATGAAAGAAATTTATCTGGATGGGGGGCTTAGTGCACAGATAAGAATAAGAGCTGAGAGGACATTGGAAGAAAAATATATTACTAAGGCAACAATCGTCAGAGGATGGAATTAAGAGCTCTGTTGGCAATAGGTTGTTTCTCAAACTGGGCCACAAGGATGCAAGGACAATGCCAAGAGGGCTATTGGAAGCCACAGAATAAACTCAGTATATCTTTCTGGGTTGTCAGCTTTACATGAAGATTGCAGGGTGGGGAAAGGAGTGGAGTCGTGTTTATTTTCTTCTTTTAAAAAAATGTGCAAACAATAGAATACAAAATTTAAGTGGAGTCTTAAGATAAAACATAAGACAAAATGTCTTATTTGTAAATACTGTCCCTCCTGTAACACGGTAGAGACTATTCCATATCAGAACCAAAAGCGCATTCCTATTCATTTTTATGGCTGCAAAGCATTCACTGAGTAGGCTTGAGGGTACGATAAGAAGGGCAGCACAAGTTTATCTTCCTCAGTTACTGGGGTTACTTTTTTTTTTTTTTTTTTGCGGTACACGGGCCTCTCACTGCTGCGGCCTCTCCCGTTGCAGAGCACAGGCTCCGGACGCGCAGGCTCAGCGGCTATGGCTCACGGGCCCAGCCGCTCCGCGGCACGTGGGATCCTCCCGGACCGGGGCACTATCCCGTGTACCCTGCATCGGTAGGCAGACTCTCAACCACTGCGCCACCAGGGAAGCCCCAATGGGGTTACTTTGATAAGAAGCATAGTGGTGAGATCCAGATTAGGCAAGATTTGGTTATGGAACAAACCACTCTCACTTTTCCAAATTAGCATAAGAGGGGTGGGTTACCCAGACACTGGACCTAGGACCCTGGGCAGATGGTGGGGTCAGTGTTTGGGGCAGGAGGCATAGCTCAGCTGGTGTCCATGTCATATTTTAATTAATGGAAACATATGGTTTTGCTTTTACTAAGGTCTCTGTGGGTTCTTGGGGTGCTTACTGTGCAGTAGTACATACACAAAATCCCAAACTCTATCCCAAACTGAAAAGAAGAAAAGCATTACATTCTAATGGCAGTTTTAGACGTGAGAATAGTGCTATTTTTTCTGATGATCTTATCACTTTAAATTTTACCTGATAATTTTAAGATAACTGGAATCTCAGAGTGACTTTGTGTCTCCTGATTTTCACAGTGAAAGCGTTTTCCAGAGCAAGCAGACGTAAAGACAATAGAAGTCCACTTTTTTTGAATGGGCAGAAGACATCTGTCTAAATGTTAAGTTTCCATAAGTAGCTTCATGACCAGGAAGTTCCTTAATTGTATGGTTATTTTCTAACAATTATGTAGTTGTGGTTTGTACTACTAATCCACAGTAGTTGTTTCTCTGGTCAAAAAAGAAAAAAAAAAATGCAGGTAACTTCAATGGAAGACTGCGAATCCTAATACGATTAGGAAAATAAAATCTTCAGTATGTTGGATACACATTAGCTTGCCCTGGGTATCATGCAGGGAAAGGATGATGCTGATAGAAGGGCTTAATGCTGTGCTCAGCCCTAGCCATTGAATGTGAAAACTATGGGTGAGTTTTAATGTCAGTTCAACCTTATTGTCCATATTTTAAGGCATTTTCTTGACTGAATTTATAAACTTAGGGGTTTTTTACAATTTCTGTAGTTTGTCCATTATATGTTTGTCCAATATATTTAAATTGTTTTCCTTAATACGTAATATTGTCGCATGATTCAAAAGGTGCAAAGAATGTCAGAGAAAGGTCTCCCTCCTTTTTTCTCCCCAGAGGCAACTCATGTTACCAGATTCTTTTGTATCTTGCCAGAACTCTTCTAGGCGTTTATAAGCAAATATTTATAGGCATCTCCTATTCTTTTTAATCAAATAGTAGCACACAGTGTACATGTTGGACACTTTGCTTTTAACTTAACAACACCTCATAGAGGCTCTTTATATTAGAACTAGAGAGCCTTCTCATGCTTTGTGATTGCAGCATATCTGGTAGGATGAATGTGTTGTAGGGAGGAAGAATCATTTTCCTTCTGCCCTTCTGAGTTCTTAGCTGAGGCCCCTGTAATAAAAGACAGATGAAGAAGAGAAAAACAGAAGTACACTTCATGTATATGTGAGAGGTACCCAGGGAAAAATGAGTACCTCCACAAGGTGGCTTAGAATTCAGGATTGAATACCATCTTAATTGGGAAAGGAGAGAGGGGATATAGGCCTCTCAGGCCTTAAATAATCTTTAAGAAAGATGAATGGGCCCTCAGAAGAATAGATGGGAGCTATGACAGTTTGTGACAAAGTTTGTCTGGGTGTGGAATGGACTTTAGTTTCTACTTCTGTGACAAGAGTCAATCTTCCCTGGTTGATGCAACTCCTGGGGAGGGGATTTATGACAATTGTGTTCCTATTGGAGGATCTATCTTTAGGCAGATAAGGGGAGTTCAGAGAAAGCCTCTTTGCAGTTTTTAAAGTATTTACAGCTCAAAATAATCAATATACCCAAGTGGTGTATTTGGGGGTGCCGTATGCTGCTACACTTTCGGATGCTATTTTATTTAACCATTCCTTTAAAAATGAACATTTAAAATATTCCCAGTCTTGGGCAATTTTAAAAAGTGATGCAATGACTAGCCTTGCCTGTACATTATTATAAGATGTGCTGGTATATTTACATAATTTCTTCGGTGTATAATTGTTAGAGCATATGTATTTTTAATGTTGAAAGGTATTTGTCAATTATTTAATAATTTGTGCCAAATAGCAAGGGAGGGAAGGAAAAATGCTCCGAAAGCCTAGGACTGTGGTATTTGAAAAGTCTCAAAGTGTTCTGACAGTACTGTATATTCTATTTCCCAAATATAGTTGGGGATCAGAGTTATGCCCTGCTCAGCAATCACTGAGGCACTTTCCTTCACATTTCTGCTTTGAGACTAATGACAGGTATTTGGGTTTTATAGGAGCTTATGACCATTTTCCAACTATTGCACTGGAATGGAAGCCTAAAAGCCCTTCGTGAAACAAAGTGTTCCCGACAGGTGAGATTTTCCAGTAAAAACAGGTTTGCGTTGTATGGACTGAGCAGATGGCTTGTCATCTTCCAGGATATGTATCAGTCCAGTTGCATCAGGGACTGACCAAAAATGCACACTAAGAAGAATGTTGGCTGGGCATAGGCCTGATTTAGATACCTGTACTGAATGCCAGAATGAAGGGATCATTAAGACAGACTTAGTTTATAAGTCAAATACTGAATCTACTCTATGCACCTGTCCTGCCTGCTGAATGTGTGCCCTCTCCCACTCTTCAAGGCAGAAAGAAATGTGAGTCTGCACTGCTTCTGAACCTCCTCACTGAGAACAGGTAGAGTCGGTTGTGTAGCAGGAGGATTTTTCTCATCCCCACCAAATGTCCTTAAGGGACAACAGAAATGATTGCAAAGGTGGACAACCTGGTATTTCAGTCGCTTCCATTTTTTGGTTTGGAAGTTTCTTCTTTATTTTTCAGAGACAGGGTCTCACTATTTCTTTGCTACCTATAAAAAGCACCCTTCTCCCTTCTTTTAGTAGCAAAGACAACCCCCTCTCCCATGTACTTAATGGTTCTCACCTACTGTCCCTCAAGATTTATTCTTCCTTTACCCCATTAGACTTCGAAGATGGTAGTTTGTTTTGAGAGTTTGCTAACAGGAATTTGTATGAGAAACAGAGCCTTTACTAGTCAGCAATATGAGGGTGGATGTAAGAGTTTTCCATGCACTGCAGCCCCAGGAGTTTTTAGTTGTTCTTTGCTTAGAAAGCCTGGCTTTCAAAATGTCAAATATGGAAAAGAAATGAGTAGCTGACAATGGCTTTGGCTGTTTTTTTCTTTTCCTTTGATTTAATAAAAAGCCTTTGAAATATGCCGGGTTGGTTATAAACACTTTTCCATGATTGTTTTTAATTTGTTAAGGTCATAAATAAATACCATATGTTCTTGAAAATAAAAGTAAACAATGCATCCACTCCACAAGATCTTGTTAAAGTGCATCCATCAAACTTATACATGATGTTACAATGTATTTGCAAATTTTAAACATGAGAATTGACAGTGACAAATTTTTAATTATTTGGAGAAAGTGAGAGACAACGTACATGAAGGTACCATTATGATATCAGTGATGATAATACCTATATTCCATAATACATTTTTAAAGTTCTTCCCATAGTTTCTGTGAGCCATTCAGTCTGTCATCTTCCTTATGCTAACAACATAGCAGTTAGGAAGTTGATTCTCTTGGTGTCTAAGTCTTGTCTGATTCAAAGCTCCCTACTTTCTGCAATGGGTGTGACCAAACCCAGTTCTGTCCGAATCCTTCCATATAATTGTTTCCCTTTTTATCTTGCCAAAGGAGATAATGCTGAGCAGAAGAGTTCAGTGAATGAGATAATGTTCATACCAATTGTTATAGGAATGCATTTTCAAAGGAAGACATATTTTCTAGCAAGGTCAGAGCTCTGTTCTGTGAACATTATTGGGTCATTCCTGGTGGTAGTGTTTTGATTCAACCTGGAGTGACCCTACTATGTGTACCAGCTTAGCCCTGTATTTCCTTTAAGAGGTATGTCCTGAGATTTGGCTTCGGTTTGTGAACATCAGAGAGGTTTGGTTATTGGTAGAACCCCTGGGGGTGTGTTGGGAGTAGTGGAGGCACAGGAAAGGAGGCATCAGAAGGCCATGAGCCCAGGTACCTTTGTTGCTCTTTACTGACACTCTGGACTTTGTTTCTTGGCTCCCAGGAAGTCATCTCCTACTATTCCCAGTATTCCCTAGATGAAAAGATGCGCAGCCACATGGCCCTGGACTGGATCATGAAGGAGCGGGAGTCACCAGGAATTCTCTCCCAAGAGCTACGAATGGCCCTGAGGGAGTTGGAGGAAGCCAGGAAAGCAGGACAAGAACTACGTTTTTACAAAGAAAAGAAAGAAATCCTGAGTTTAGCCCTGACTCAGATCTACAGTGATCCTGACACTTCCTCACCCAGTGATGATCAGTTGAGCCTCACAGCCCTTTGCAGCTATCACTAACAAGGCCAGGTCCCAGCTGCCCCCAAGGCGGGCAGAGGCCGGACTGTAACATTAGGAAGCTAATAGAAGGAGGTCATCAGAGGCTTTAGCAGCTATAGATGCTGCCTGAAGGCTGTACTAATTCTCCCCACCCATTCCATTCATAGAATCTCAGAGTAGGAGGACCCTTATAGGACCCAACATGTCACTCAATGCAATTTTCCCATCACACTCTCGATAGTTCCACCTCAGACTGAAAGGATGGAGACAGGATTGCTTGAAAAATATTTTCCAGGCCTGGCTTTAACCTGAAGCCTTGTTGACATGTGCCTTGCTAGATTATATATGTTGTTTAAAAGAATGGGTCAATGAAGCATCCCCGAAAAGAACACCAGCCAGGACTGGGGAAAATAGCATGATAGCAATTTAAAAATACTTGGGATTAAATAAACAATATGGATTCTTTTAAAAAATATACAGGGGTCAGAGTTTCTTCCTAAGCTTTGTGAGCTACAAGATCACTTACACTCTACTAGGTGTAATCCAAAACTTCAGTGAGGATTTTATCTGGACATCCCACTATCAAAGATTTTGAACTGGTAATAGTATGAAAATACTATATAAATGTAATGTGGCTTAAAATGTCATAGTAATAAAATTTTTTTTCAATCCACTCTTCCATATGGGGATAAATATCACCCAGGATAGTACCCTCACTTGTATTCCTCAAGAAGAATTAATATCCAATTTTTATGAGTCCTGCAGTCAGTCATATTCATTTTTAATCGGCAAATAAGATTAATTGATTCATTTTTATTTCTGCCACTTCTGTCATATATCTATAATGGAGAAAGTTACTGTCATTTCAAAGGTTAAAACATTTTGAAAAATCATTAGCATTTAACAATGCTTATGTTCACATTTGATTTGTTTCTCATGCATTAGAGCAAAGGAATTATTAGCTGTCTTTGTTATTGTTCAAGAACTTAAGCCACCAGTAGCTCAAACATAGTGTCATTTTTCAGTTTAAATTACTGGAATCTTCTTTAAAGAAGGGATAAAACATTGCCATCTCTTTTTCAAAATGGCTCAGATCAATCAACAGATTAGAAAACCAAAAGCAAATACAAACCAATTTTTAGATGGTTCCTGGTCACTCAGATTTAAGAATGGCAGCAGTGTCAATTTTAAACACTTACAAGTATTTCCCTATTTTTAACATGGAAAGGATTATCTTGCATTTACTCCAATAATTCAAATTTAAGAAAACAGTTTTCTCAATTTTAAATAAGGTTTCTTTTTCTTCTTGTTTACGCAAATGCACATCAAGTTTCATGAAAGCTAAAACCATTATAATTACATTAAAGTTTACAAAAATGTGAGTTTAGCTTCATATCTAAATATCTACAGTGCTAATTGTCACTCCTTGAATCCCCATAAAACTGTATACTGAGTACTATATACTGAGCATATATTTTGGAATTAACCTTGTTAATAAAAAATTAACTTCATACATCATATTTTTCACATCAGGGGAAAATTTAGCTATATATCTGCCCTATTCAAATGTCTTAAAAAAGTAATGCTATATAATATTAGATAAATTTTATTTAAAATATTGTTTTAACAAAAAAATCACATTTCTCCCCATAATGAGGCTAAACGTCACCTAGAAGAAATTTCCAAATAGGAATTAGAATTAATATTTATAATTTGAATAAATTTTAAAATTAAATTACTTCCTATTTAAAGTAATTTTTTCATAAAGTCATTACTCGTTATCATTTCAGAAAAGCCACAACTTCCCCTGTTGGGTGTGATTAAAGGTAGGTACATCTGTACTGCATTTGCAGCCTTTAACAATGACCAACTCAAGCTGACACCATCTAATTACATGCAGGAACAGGAATCAGCTGGGAAAATATTAAATGTATTCTCTGCCCTGCAATTAGAAAACTGTACCCATTCTGTTCACTGAAAGCAGAGGTTCTGTCTTGGCCACTATCAGCTTTTCCTGGCTGGTCAAAACTGCCTACTCTTCCTGCAATGGTAGGGAAGTTTCAGCAAAAGAAGCAAAAGTCAGAATCTTTGCCACTGCTGCTCCCTTTGATGCTCATTTATCGCAAATCAGTTTCAGCTAAGACCTAATGGCTGTCAGTACATCACATAAATGTCTATAATCCTGGTCCTGAGAAGAGCAGGGCTGAAGAGCAAAGTAGGATATTATTATTTTTCAATTTCTGTATCTTGTTCTCAATAGCACACTGTGTTGGAGGGGCCTAGAGTGGAGGATTCTCTATTTAAATATATGGAACTATGTGTCTTAACCTTTTGTGGTTATAAGCCCTTTGAGAATCTGATAGAAGCTATGGACCTTCTCCTAGGAAAACAGAACGAAGCATATACACACAAAATTACACAAACTGTTTCAGAGCGTATGTGGACCTCCCCAAAATCCATAGATTGCTCTGTCCAAAGACCCCCAGTTTAGAACTCTTAATTTTGAGCGCATACTTACAGTTTCTTAAGCTTTTCAGCAGGGATCCAACTAACTCAGGCATCGTCCCATTAACCTATCTCTAAGATAAATGTCATCATCCTTAAATACAGAATTGCACTGTATTTTGACAAGAGATAGTTTAATTCTCACAAAACCCCAATACACCAGACTGTTATGAAAAAAACAGCTTGAAGCAAACTAGTCACTAAATTTGTGTGAACATGTTAGAATATTACAAATTTAATAAAGTCATTGTTCCTCTCATGATCAGAATTTGGCTGTCTATTTGTTCAAAAGATATAGTCCATTGATATGTTTGCTGTTAAATTCATTCACCTATTTCTAGAAAATGAAAAGAATCAAGCCATAGATATTCCTGAAATGCTGTGCCTACACCAATGATGAATCTGGTCAGCTAGGTCTCAGGGCAAAGAGAAAACATAAAGGTTTAACACCTTTCGGTTTCTTTATGGAAAGCTTTTGAAGTCAGGAGTATTGTTGTAGTTGACTTTATCTCTGAAATGCTTCAGAGAGTTCTCAGTTACATCATGCCATGCCTTTCTTTCTTGCCAAAGGACAAAAGAAGCCAGACTAAGAATATTTTTATTATCCTTGACTATGTTTACAGGTAAACACTATTCAAGACATTATTATATATTGTTGGTGTTTTGTTTTGTTTTGTTTTACCTTGCAGAAATGCAAATATCAATCTTTCTTCTATGGTGTCCACCATGTTAAAGAGCGAATATTGAGATTGTTTTTAGCCAGGGTTCCAGGAAAATGAAAATTATTTTCCCTACTACAGCGGTTTTCTTTGGCTGCCCATTAGAAATATCCAAAGAGCTTTAAAAGATCCTAACTGTCCAGACTGCATCCAGACCAATGAAATCAGACTTTCTGGAAGTGGGACCCAGGCATCAGTATTTTTTAAAGCTCCCCAGGTAGTTCGAATGTACAACAAGGTTGAGAACCACTGCTCTACCCAGGAAGTTCTGGCTCAGAGGTCTATGGCCTAACTAGTGGGAGCTGTTACTTAACTTGGCATTGGTTCCAAATTCAAAATGTTGAGCTCTTCTCATTTAGGTAGGAGCAAAACCTTTTGCTTGAGCAAGAGGCTTTCCTGGAGCCCAGAACTAAAGCAGAGCAAGCATGCATGTGTGCGCACAAACACACACACCTTAGCAGGAAAGCCAGATTCTGCTCCAGGGTCCAGGCTTTCTTTCACAAATATGATACACAAACTAACTGCCCCAGAATCATCCTTTAAAAGTACAAGTTCCTGGGCCACACCCAGACCTGCTGGCCAAATTCCAGGAGAGAGTCTGGATGATTTACCACTCCACCAGGTGTTTCTGATCACACTTAAATTTGAGTTCTTTTGGCCTAGAGCTACCTAGCACATTCTTTAGTAGGCAGCACAGCCCTAGCCTTCTGATATAACTAGCCTCTTGGTAGAGAGAGCACAGAAAGGAATAAAGGGGAGAGGGAAAGGTTGCCTCTTTACCCCTCCTGGAAGCTAGAGAAAAGCAGAAAGGGCAGATATATAGCTGCCTTTTCTCTCCCAAAAGAGCTCCCACTCTTTTTATCACTTTGGCTCCAACATTTGGAATTACTTTTAATCCCTTTACTAGAAACCGTGAAAATCTCTATTAGCTCATGGTTAAAGTCACTTCTTTAAACCTGACTAAACCCTGGTAGCACTTTCTTCCTTGGAGCAAAGTAGGTTGTGGGAAAGGGAAGCAGAAGCTTCTTCCTGCCAGCTGTTGATTCTCTAGTGATTGTTGGTTTTCAGGTGAAAGTCCCAAATTGCTATCTATTTTTAGGCAGTTCCCAATTTTAGCAGCAATTACTGTGTCACAAGTCCATTTGTAAGTCAGTTAGTTGTTCAATCCTGAGGATGCATTCTTCTATAGGAGCAAGGTCATAAATGGTGGCCAGTTTCCTAGACTAGCTTGTATAAACAATAGGGTACCTTAAATATTGATTTATATGGGACCTAATATGCTCTAGGTTGTGGGCAGGGGAGAATAGAATAAGGGGCAGCTGTGGGTCTAGGGCATATTATTGTGGACCTACCTCCTGGGGGCATATTTCTTAGTCTCAAACTGGTTCTCCAAATAGTCCCCTTATTTTCTCTTTGCCCCCCACCCCAAGATTTAGGTTGATAATACCCCACCCCCTGCCATCACTTGTTGCTTCTTCTGATCATGGTTTCTTCTACTTGCTGACTTACTGAAGAAGTGCTTTTCTCCTGCCTTTCCTACAAACACTTTGAAAATTTCTAAGAATTGGTATCACTAGAAACAGGAACACTGGATGACCTAAAAATGGCAGCTACTAAGCCACTTCGCAGGTCCTGTGGGGAACACAAGCACATGAAACAGGACTGCATTATTGTACTCATCCAGGCCCCTAAAGTTTCCTGCTTCTTTGGTGTTCTCATTTGGCTCCACAGGCATTGCCCCATCCTGATCATGGATGTCCCATAGCTAGCCAGTGATTCTGGGTAATCTGGCTCAAAACTACAAACTGGACTGATCAGTCTGTCCCCCTCAGGAATGTGAGCTAAGAAACATGGAAGGAATTTGGCAGTTCAAGTTGGGAGCTGAAGTTGGAAGGGTCATGTTCATGAGCGCTGTGCAGGCTGAAGTGATGAGGAAGAAGGAGTGATGAGTCAGCAGGAGTGATGAGTCAGCAGAAGAAGCTGGTCAGTAGAAAGAGGAGAGGTGGTTGGTGTGGAGAGCAGATGCAAGGAGAGGCGGAAACACAAGTCAAAGGTGAGAGCATGAGGTCCACGAGGAAACCATGAGAGCTGCTGGCCCAAGCACCCTTCAGTAAATTCACTTACTCTTTACCTGAGTGGATCACACGCTTTGCAACCAAAGAAATCTCACTTTACTAATTTCAGAGCAAAATTGCTCTAGATTATCCTGGACTTTTCATACTAAGAATAGACCAAGAAAGCTGACATGAGGAAAAACCTATTCAAGCAATAGAAACGCTGCTAAGAAAACTAGACTTAGGACTGGTGACAGAGTTAAACTTTTCCCCACTCACTGCTCCTTCCACTCCAATGTAAGCTCTCAAACCAGTCAGGAGTCCTTCCCAAATCTGAAATAAACTTATGTATTATGTGCTAACCATCATGTTGTTCCTCCCCCTACATAGAAATTCCTGTGTTCTCATGTTCCACAGGAGATATATAGACACAGAGGGACATAGAATTCTATTTTTATGAAGATAGAATTCATAACCTCAAATAATTGTTGTCTTCTTTAAAAATTAGTCACCTTGGGAACCTAATGACATGCTCTGACAAT